AGTTATCCACAGCAAAGTGTTGTGAGAAAGTAAGGATGAATAACAATTAAAATATTTTAACAAACTAATAGCTGGAAAAAAACTATACTTGGATATGCAAGAGATGTCAATAAGATTAATTGTTGATTACTATAACAAGATTCCAGATTTTCTATGGCACCAACCAGAGACACTAGATCTCCGTTCACAATATTAAACTCTACTATAAATGAGCTGCTGTACTATCACACGCCTAATCACAACTACGAGGGGAAATGACTAAACTCCAGACTAAATGAGTTATTATAGAATCAGACACCTTATCAGGATTTCAAATCCCAGACTAAATGAGCTGTTGAAGCATCCAGTGACTGATCCAGTTGCAAACTGCAAGGGGAAAAAAAGTCAAATTGTATTGCACATTATATATTCTGAAGTAAAATCAGATAGCAGCTCACAGTATCAAACGTCACACTAAGTGAACGGCCATAATATCACAAAACCGATCATAACTGAAGCATCAGACCACAAAGGGTAATCAAACTCCAAACTAATTGAGCTGCAGTGGGATCAAGGACCTGAACACAATAGCGCATTTCAGAATAAAACTGTTGCTGTAATATTGATGGCTGGCGATAACAGCATTATTGACATGCTCTGGCAATCTCTTGCAATATAAGTATTGTTTTTTCCCCAGATACTGATGTCATGAACGACAATTATGATTAGATACGAGTTCTTAGATTCACCCTATCCCTAACGAATGCTATTTCTCTCGACTTTCTAACTTGATAAAGCAAGAATTTATATTGTACTCTTTTTGTCGTGGGTCAGAATTTATTTTCTAATCTTTAAAGCCTTGGACATAATTTATGAATTTCTTTTGTGAAGGTTACTGCATTTTGCACTGAGCAGGATTTTTTCTCTAAACCTGAAAGCATATTCTTGTGGGTTCTAATAAAGGATCCTGCTTGAACTATGAACTATCTGGATGGAGATGCTGCCAGTACCACATCTCAGGCACCGAACCATGGATGTACAGTCCACCTCACTGAGCCAGTTCGAAACCTTGACATCTTGTTTAACCCTCAACAGTCCTTTCTGTCCCACATCTGTGCCATGTCCCGCTCTGCCTTCCCTCCACCTTTGCAACATCGCCCGGCTCTGCCACTGCCTCCCCTCAAGCTTCCGAAACCCTCATCCACGCATTTACCACTTCAGACTCGGCCACCCTCCAACCCACCCTGCCTCGACTCCTTCTGATCCCAACCCCCTGCTTGGGTCCAAATCCCTGACTGTCCAGCACCTTGGGACGACCTCCCGACGTGAAAGGCGCTACACAAATGTAATTTGTTGTTGTTGCTGTTGTTGTTATCTTTCTCTTTCAGCTGCTGATTGACCTGCTGTGGTTTTCCAGTATATGCTGGTTGTGGTTGTTTGTGTGCAATTGTTTTTCATGCTATATATTAAATCTGTAATGTTGGACTTTTACCAAAGAATCAAGAAATTAAGTTTGTTAACTCTCAATCGTATCCATATAATCCCCTGCAGTATTAGAAAGCAGAAAATTATAGAACTAACTGAATCACAGTGACATTAAACATTGTAAAATAACAAACTCCAGAATAAATCAAGTACTTATTATCAGCCAACTATTCATAACTGTGGGATATGGATGCAGGAAAATAACCGAATCTTGCATTGCACTAGCAAACTACACAACCAATAATAGCCTTGGCTTCAACAGTGGAAAAATTCAGACCAAATCAAATCTTGTAATGTCAGGTGTTTAATTACACTAAAACCCCATACTGAACATGCTGAGGACTTGTATTATCAGAAAGTGAGTGATAGTTTTGTATCAGTTTGTATATGAGCTGCAAATAGGATACAACTAGCAGATAATTCAACGTTCTTCTTCAGTTGAATGATAAATTGCAGCAATCAGGAAACATTTTGGGGAAATCTGCTATTAAGATCTAGTCATGCCCGGTGTAATAAAATCTGGCCAGTGCCGTAAAGTACAATTAGGTACATAAGAGCACAAACATAATGCTAGCTGCCAATATGATGAAGTCTTACAACCGAAAGAATGATAGACAGAGGCATAGAAAATGAACAAGAGAAAGTTTCAGACTCTACTATTGGATGATATACCAGAGGTGATGGGTAACCAGGAGCACACATAGCAATAGTACAGTGCTGTACTTCAAAGGTACTCTGATTTGAAAGGATCCGCTTCACTGAGACCATTAAATAGAAACAGGATCTGCTATTCAAAGGAAATAAATCCACCTGGGATTGATAGCGACACAAGCATCGTTAAGGTTGCTCTATCCTAACCTGACATGAGGCCGTGATGTAAAAAGGAAGTGAGGCCATAAAGCTTGTCAGGAATACTGAGAAAGTTAAATAGGACTTGAATATTTTTTTTAAAAATTATATAAACATAACAAGATTTGAAGTGCATTACTAACGTGGGCATAGTAGTTAGATTTAGGTTAAATGCTAAATCAACAGTCCAAGGACTCCCTCCCTCCCATTCCTGAACCAAAACTTTGCTTTACTGCAATACCCCCTTTAGTAGATGTGTTGGTGCCTAATTAATGTGGGTTTAACAATCTTGATGTTACTGCAGCCTTAGAACGTGGCACTTTGATGGGGAAATAATGCCATTCATGAGCCAATCGCAATAGATTATTTCAGTAAATCAATGTACTGATCTATCATCTACTGACAACTCTCATAAAGAAGCAAAGCAGCATCAGATGGAAGTAAAATTGAAGTTGGAGTGTTGTTTGGAGTTTGCATCACTACACAATACAAAGATGTGGAACTCTGGCAAGCAAAAATGTTGTGGGTTTGCCATAATTAAAAAGGGAGTCAGAGAATCTCTCCATAATAGCTCCTAGTCCAATGCCTAAGGAGATAAAACGGACAGAAGGTGATGGGATAATTTACATAATGATGGTGCACTGCACCTTTAATTGAATTATCTTTGCTAAATCACATGATCTGATTCACACAACAGTACAAACAGTTGGGGCAATTGAGGTGGTCAATGGTCAGCCTGCTTTTCATAGCAGGTCAGCTGAACAAGCTTTCATCGAGTACAAAGAAAGGAAAAGAGACAAAAAGACCCTGTTTAGTTGTTTCATCAGCTTTGCAACGTGCAATCTTTAACAGCCTTTGAAATTCTGCATAATAGCATTTGGTAGAATTTTTATAAGGCAAAATAGTACAACATGACAGAAACTGCATTTTAGTAAATCATTAAAAGCTTCATCAATAGAGAGGAGTACTGAAAAGGTTAAAGTTTATTTTCTCGGGCTAGACTATCTTTTAAAAAAGCCAGAAAAACAAAGAAGATTGGAAGGATTAAGTTCAATAGAGGCAGGAATAAAATTATTTCCAGTAACACTGCAGATAAAACAAAACACGTGATTGACTATCAAATTCAAGTTTGTGGTATTTAGACATGTTTTATACTGCTCAGGGCTTGCTTAAACTCCACAAAAGTTGCTTTCAGAAGCCTGTGTTTTGCCCACAACAACATAGCATCTATATTGAGGGGAAAGGAGGACTCCAAATGGTGTGCATTTATAAGAAGATAAAAGAATAAAAGGAATTATTTGGACTTAACAACCTTGCCACAAAAATAATCTTTTCGTGTATGGCATTCTATCCTGGAAAATATACGTGTGACTTGCTCTCACAGCTCCCTTTTCATCTCACCTATTTTGTTCCTGCAACTGGTGCATTTTCCTTTACCTTATATTTCTTTAAAAATGTAAAATAATTGTCCCTTATCTCTCAGCCCCCTACTCTTCTTCCTCTCCCGTACACCAATTTGACATTATCTGCATTCATCCCTTGTTAACAACGCGACAGATTATGGTCTGAGTTTCCTCTGTTACCATCACTAGTATTGCACACATCCAGTGTTAAGATATTCCTCCCAGTACCAGTCTTAAAGGTGACAATAACTTCCGACGAAACCATTCACAAAGAGAGAGAGATAGGCTTGTGTTTGACCTTGAATTTCCATTTCTTGTATAAAATGAAAAATTACAGAAAGAGCCAGAGGGTGGTTGTTTCTTGTCATTATCCTGTTGTCAATTCTGATGGCGGTTATTAATTTTTTTTCTTTACGATTCACAATCTGCTCTTTGAAATATGCCATATGTTCAAAGCAATTCAGGGATGACAACTGTCAGAATTACAACAATAAAAAATAGCCTAAACGAGGCAGATTTACTGCTGTGGAGTTCTGCTGAAAATAACCCCTGAAATGCTTTGACATATTACTCCTGCTCGGTTTTAAAATATCATCAGATCTACACTATAAGTTTTGAGATTCTGTATCAATAAAATAATAAAGGAATATGATACAAAGTAGTGCATTTAATAGGGTGTGTAACAGAATAGGTATAAATATACATTTCTCATTTATTATTTGAGGGAATTCAAATTAACATTAAATTCCCAAATATTTGTTTTAATCATGTGTAAAATATAGTGACGAAAAGCAATAAAGTCTGCTTTATCTATTACCAATAAAAATTCATTGAAAACAGACTGGTGTCCAGGCAGCAACGAACCAAGACTCATAGCAAATTTCATTCTTTGAGCTTCTGAAGGACAGACTAATCTATCTGAAACTCAAATCAAAACACAGGCTGTAAAGTAGAGCCCCTACTCCCATTGACTATTCATTTTGTTTCAGTCTATTTTTTAATCCCATCTCTCCGTTCTCTTTCTACCCTCTACGAGAACATTTCTTCATTCCTTTGTAAAATTAAACTTAATAGAATGTGATAAAGGAAACTCTTTGGCAATTATGATGTCTGCACTGTCTGCTGGCACGCAGGAGATGGAAATGAAGTTGGGGACAGGGAAGGGAATTCTAATAGGCACCATGATATATACAATGAACGTCAAGATGTCCTCTGAGAGCGAGAGACTTGTCAGGCTAATCAGATTTTCTATATCCACGTAAAGACAGTAACATAGGCTCTAACCTTGTAAAGATGCTGCTGCTGCTCTTCTGACATCATCAGGTCATGGCTGTCCATCACTATGGATTCCATGTCAATCAGCCAATCCCAGAGCTCCTGGTGTTCTGATTCAAAGTCCAGAAGGCTGGAAAGTAGAATTAAAAATGCATTATGCATTATATAAATAAAATATATATTCCTGAATGAACAATGACTGAAAAATTTAATTGCTTGTTAGAGAGAAAATTAAAACTTGAAACTACTCAGTAAGATATCATTAAATTCTAATATAAGCAGATAGCACAACAAGATTAATAACAAAAGGTAATAATGTGTCAGAATGGGAAAATAAACAGTATAATTAGATGATACCAACAGGCAAAGTCAAAACTAATGTTTTGTCATTTTTTTTAAAAAAGTATAGGAAATAAAATAAAAGAAGATAAAATCGACAAAGAAAATCATCAATGCCGATTTCTTGCTCTTAATCCATTTAGCTTTTTTTTGTCATTTCAATGAAGCCGTTTTCAATGCTGCCTCAATGAGAAAGATGTGTGTCAGCTGCACAAAAGGGACAACAGCACCGAAGGTAAACCTGCAGCCAAAGGTTTTATAAGAAGATGAAAGTGTATCAGACACATTTTAGTTGGGCATGAGTGCTTATGCCAAGCCACTCAAAAGGGCTGGATGCAGCACTAGACAGGTGCTCCCCAAAGACATGTTAGATGCAAAGGTGAGGCCAAAAAGTCAAAATGTGGAATTCTCAAAAAGACAGTAATCATTAAAATTCAAAGGGAGATCATTACGCTTTTCAGCTAAATAAATCATTAGAATGAGGAGCTTAAAAGGATTAAAGTGGTGTTCAGTTCAAAGCACAGAACCTGAGTTAAGCGAAGTCTCCATCTTACAATTCAGCTCCAACAGTCTGATGCAGTAAGAGGTAATAATCATGAAAAGTGCAGTCATCAACAAGATAAAGCACAGTTCTCCAGATTTATTGAAATGTCATTCCTGACATTGATGTTCATCAATAGCACTCCAAACTGAATGATCCTTAACAAAAATTAACTAGCAAAATCTGGCAGGAGTTCAGAACCATGTCCCTCCCTGATAGTTAATGGAAAGGAAACTTCCACAGAGATGATTTCACGCTATGTTTAAACAGACGTTCTAGTAGCTGGTTCGGGTCCAGCTTCGTCAAAAATAAAATAAATGTTGCAGTGAATGAACAAGTTCACTCCAAAACAAGCAAAAGAATCATTTTTGCTGCAATCACAATAATAATCCTTCCATTTGATAAAGCGCCTTATCATGTCATTGGGGCGTCTCAAAGCGCTTCACAGGATATACTGTAAAGTGGATTGACTGTGTATTTTGTGGGCCCCAAAAAAAGCTTGGACCAAATAGGCAACAGAGCTGATTTTTTGGATTTCACATCTAAATAGATATTCATAATAGTTCAAATAATGAGCTTCAAACATTCTTCTGCAAATTCCATCCAAGTAAACTAAACCACCACATTTGGATTTATTAAGAGATTTAGCTTCTAAGTTGGCTGCAGCTAGAAAGTGCACATATTGCAGTGACTCCTGACATTGGATCTTAATCTTTTTGACAAACCCATTCCAAAAGAATTAGTAAATTCGCACTGCCTCAAAGACTGCGTGATGTTTGCGATCTGAGCACCCAAATTAATTGCACATGTTCTAAGTTGTATCACATGAATTAGGTTTGATTCCAAATTCAATTGCATGAATTTGCTTTCGAACTTACAATCAAAGCTGTAACCGGTATGATCAGTTCCCATATTTAAAAATTGAGAGAAAAATATAGATCTGGGTCATAGGCTGCTGACCCCCATTTTAGCAGAAATTCTGACCACCACACACCCTCACACTGCAGCACCATTTACTATACTGACCATTTATCAACAGTCCACACCCTGTCTACATGTTCTGCCAGATGAATACTCATTGTGGGGTTAGCAGCTATGAGGAGACATTTTTTTAAGAATGGGGAAAATCAAATTTGGCCAGTTGAACATATTTCGATTAATGCATTCATCCAGATTAAGTTCATAACAATGAACTTTAAAGCTATCCATTTAAAAATCATTTGGCCTCAAACAGGTGAAAGCATGTTCCATTACTAATGTAGACGGTTAAGAATATTATCCTAGATTCTCTTGAAATTAAGATTAATGTCAACAAAAGCATTAAGATTACAGTGGAACCTCAGCATTACCAATGATTAGGATCAGCAGAAGAGTTATATAAGCTTGTATTGTATGGCAATTTAAATGAAAAGTTATTCATTTTAAATTACCCGTTTTTTAAAAAAAACTTTCCTAACCCACTCCACTCCCCACGTCTTTCCTTAGAAAGAAACTTTTGAAATGATGTAACGTGATGAAGCCCGATATTAAAATGGAAATCTTTTATCATTATTTAATTATTTATCAATGTTATAATAATAATAATCCTTGCATTTGATATAGCGCTTTTCACGTCGGGAGGACGTCCCAAAGCGCTTCACAGAACACACTGTAAAGTGAATTGACTGTATATTTGTGGGCGAACGCGGCAGCCAATTGCGCACAGCAATGTCCCACAAACAGTCGTAGATTAAAAAAGTTATTATTGTTTTTGCATGCAACCAGCCACCAGGAATAATGCCTGAGTGGAGTAGATCTACAGTACTTAATGTCTCTCAATCTTTCATTTGCTGCTTCTAATTGAGAGCCCAGCTGAGATCAGGAGCTCTTTGTGTGAACCCTTGTTTTACCATAGAGGGGCAATAGCCTACAGTACATCGGCATAAACAATGTAGATCAGATAGCATGTCCTTATAGAGGAAACGGCACAGATTTTGGTAATCTACAGATTTTGGTTAGCATGCTATATGTTGGCCACATAATACAGTATTATGCGATGTTGTAGTTATGTGATGTAGCTCATGAGATGAATGATTGAGAAAGCGTTAAAGATATGTACCTCTCAAACTTACTCAGTAAATTCCTTACCTGTTAATACCTATACGGCTGACTTTTGACAATGCAGCAAACTCCTGGGTCCGTTTGTTGCTGCTTGTGTACTGTTCACTGTACAACTTCAGTGACATCTGTTCCACAGCATCTCGTCTGGTTTCCAAATTGATAAGCTGTATCTCACCCTAGAAATAGAAGTGTAAATAGCAATGATAAATAGTGCAATATTCATCACAGTTCAGAATGTTCTTGGTTATACCAACCTCTAATGTAATGTGTTCAGAAACTCTCCTTGGAAGATTGCACTTGCAAGTAGGTATTACTGTGTATCAATAAAATTACATTTAGATTTTTCAAGACCTAAATAATACATTCTCATTCCCTCACATGTTACTCAACTCTATAATTTTTGTAGAACATTGCAGAACAAAACAAATTTTAATTTTGCAAGATGCAAATGAAATGCAGTACGCAATGGATTAGCGATTAAGATTGCTTAGCAATTTTGTGTCTCAAAGGTTAAGTCAAGCCAAAGTGTAGGAGTGATTTTGTAATGTCAGAATTTTGCTCAGATGGTTGGCATTACAATGCTATTCATTCAACTTTATTCCACCAGAGTGTCAAGGGCTTAGATCACTTAATTCCATCAGCACAGCTCTCTTGCATAGTCTTGATTGTTGCAAATTACAGGCAAAAGCAATCTGCAACTATCACCTTGTCATCTTGGATGGAATTTTGCAGGTAATCCCAGCTCCTTCCAGAGTTATTAATATTTTACTTACAATGTTTCCCGTTCGGTTTCATTTCTGTGCAGTTTAATCTGGCTTCAGACCACAAATATTTCCCCAACAGCATTCATTAGCATTCTCAGTTCAGACGGAGTGCATTCCATAACCCCTGTTCACATTGCAATTAAATTACCCATTTCCTGGAGTAATTCAGTACTTCCATCCTAAACTCCCATGGCATTGCTGAAGCAGTTTTGAACTTAAATGCAAAATCTATTGAGGCAAGTCAACAAAACCTCAATAAATATCACCAAGGATCCAAACTCCTTGAAAATATCAATGATGTTTCAACATGAAACGCTGATGTCTCACTCTCCACTGTACATTTGCCAACAAGCTCAGTTTTTGTTCTTAAGCATTTATTTGTTGAAGTACTGGAATGAATGTTTTGTGATTTTTGTTCCTATATTTACTAGGTTTGCTTCCAATGCCGTTGGATTATCTCCGAACTGAGAAAAGTGCGCAGGTAAAGCTCCCTCAATATTTCGTACCTGCATGGAAAGTACTTGCAGGCGGTAGAGCTTCTTCAGCTTTCCCTCCTTTCGCTTAGTGGATTGAATTGGATTGCAAAGACACAAACCACTTGTTACCATTCCAAATGCAGGCAGCAACTCACAGCACCACCACACGCCCTTACATTCCCTGACTGAAAGTCAGTACTTCCACCAATCTCCTACCAATGTCTTGAAAGGAAATCTCCTAACTGGAAAATGTAGCCCTTATTCACGTTTTCCTGAATATATTACTGAACCAGCACCCGAGAGGGTGCTATTCCTGCACAAGCAAATTCCCACAAAATGTATTGGCTTATATTGAACATCAATAAAAAATACACGGCAGCAAAAAACATATTTGCATATAAAAGGCTGTTATTTACTTTTATGGTCAATGCAGAATGGTTCACAGAGTGTTTAATTCTGAACAAGTGGTGAGAGTGAGACGTAGCTCATTGCCAGAGGTGGTTCAGTGTGACGAATAATTAGTGAAGGAGCACATGTTAAATGGACTAACTACAGTGCATGCTGGCCAGAAAGAGCTCGAGGATTTAATGTGAATAACTCTATGAAACAGCCTACTGATTGTTTGTAAATATACTAAGTCGTATTAACATAGGATAGAGCATCAATTAAAAGAACTGACAATGCTCATTATAAAAAAAACACACGAGTTAGACTTCATCTGAAGTATTCTGTGCTGTCCATTTCACCTAATAAGAAAGTTATTATTGTCCTTGACAGAGTACGTAGGCAAACAACCAAGATAATACCAGGTATTAGTAATTTCCTGTCTAAAGGTTAAGCAAATGAGGCTTATTTTATTTGGAAAAGAGAAGATTTTGAGATGAGAATGCAAGAGCCAGGCAAATTATTCACTACCATGAAACATAAGTTAAAAATTAAGATGTTAGTAGTAAGAGGGGAAGTCAAGCAGAACCTTTTAACTCAATGGGCAATTGGCTTGCGGAAGGCTGCAAAAATAGACAATACAAACGGGTTCAAAAAGACAACCAGGTGCATTTCTGAAGAAAGAACGATTGAGTGATGTGGTTTTGGGTTCAAACCTCTCAAAAAGGGTAATGCTTGTGGAGCCATACGACATTTTACGGTCCTAAAAATACTGTGGCGTTCACTCCTTATCTAATAAGGCATTTTGTCAGGAGGGTAGATTATACGAAGGAATTTTAAGACAAATTGTTTTTGTTAGCATTACAACAATGAAGAAATGCCATGACAAAAATGTTTTATGTGCTCACTGCTTGTGTACTACATGCGAATGGAGTGGAATGACAGCATGCGACCTTGCATTGGAATAATTTAACAAGGTAGATAGATCAGCACAAGATCGAGGGAAATGAAATACTGCAGACTTTCCGTCCGCCCAATTATTGGCTTGAAGTCTCAAGAAAAACAGAAGGGTGATGCCAAACAGTGTTCCCTTCCAAAATAAAATGCTCATCTTTAATGCCCCTTGCTTCATTTTTCCATTCCTCATTGAGGCTATAGAAGTCTTTTATCCACCCTTCCACCCTCCACCTTAACTCCTGACTTTTCTGAACCTGTGTGCATGATGCAAATGTGTGTCAAAGTGCTAAGTATTCAAGTACTGAAGTTCAGAGCAGCGGTTACCCAAAGGCTACAAATTCCTGGCTCGCTGTTGAGGAATGCACAAACGAGACTGTACAGCACCATATCCTTATTTCAAAGAGAATCGCACACAGAAGAAGAAAAGAACAACACATCTGGGTCACAGCCACTGCACTGGGATTCCTGATTTCCGAGGTTGGCTTAAAACTAACAGAGTGCTGCCGATGCAAAATAAAATCAATCTAAAGTTCAACTGTTTGATGAATATTTACTTCTGTCTCCAGAGTTTTAGGTTCAGATTTGAAATCTGCTGAATCATGTCATTTATTTTGTGTGTATGCCAACACCAATTTACTATCTGCAAGAAAGTTCCTGAACTGGAGGTCTCTTGTGGATTCTCTGTTGGGTATTCTGTCAATCAGAATAGGTATGTAAAGCATTGCCAGTAGGAAACCATTATCATTTCCTATTCATACCCTGCTCTGTATGCTCACAATGAATTTTCTGATTGCTGTAAGCTCTAACATGTACTCTGCTGATAGCATATGTAAACATCAATCATTCATACATCATTGAAGATTACAGTGATGTGTCAGTCAATTGTATCGTTAAGTATACTCTTACAAGGCTCGTCAATAATTACAAATATTCTGTTTAACATTAAATAATTCAATCCTCACATTTGATGGAAACATACACAAAAGTATCAGCTTTGCAATTACCAACACGAAGACAAAATCTAAAGCCACAATTTTCGGGAGTAAATGGAAAATCGTTTCAATTCAATGGAAGAAAACATATGCTCAAAATAATCTTTCAATTTGTGGTTTGAAACAGAATAAAAGCATAACAGCAGCTCCTTTCCTGTGCACTACAGCAGACAGACGTAATGATCAAGGATTTTCCTGTCCAACTGTTTTGAATAAAACAATAATGAAATTCTAAATGTTTTCTGCCTCTGTGCAGATAGAAATAATGACTACAAAGTCTTCATTCCTCTTTTAACCTAACACTGAATCATTTGAAGAAACTCCATAGGAGTTAAGCAAACAGGAAAACACTGTATCAGAAACAGCTGGACATTGTAACGTATATATGTTGTGGAGAGAGATAAAAAAAAATCAGTGCCTCCAGTGACGAGCATTAATAAATTCTTCAGGATTTAAAAATTACAAAACATGCGTTTAATATATGCATAGGAAAAAAATATGCAAAAGAAGATGGGGAAACTATATGCCTATGTGCTGGATTCAAATTATGGAAAACTCATAACAAGTGGAGCCTCAATTGAGATATTTTGAAGATTAAAGGCCATCGCTTTAGGCAGGTGTTACACAAGATTCCATTAATATATGTAATTAACATTGGCCTAAGCTTTAATGAACATGCAAACCTTAATTAGCAAGGCATTAGATGACATGTAAAAAGCTGATCTTAATGTCACAGCTAAAATGTTCAAGCTGAGAGTGTACTGGGGAAAAAAAATAAATTATATTTCTCAAATTATATTTTAAATTGGCAAAGAGATTTGTTGTGGCTACTGAGAAGTTAAGAATGCATTTGCAAGAGTTAGCAAGAATCCATAAATGCAAATGCGCTGGTCCCTGTTCCTAACGGGTGTCACTCTTTATTAGAACGCGAGACAATTTTGCATTAAAGTCCAAATTGATTTTGCACCACATATATAAAATGTAATAATCCAAACCATTTTTGTATTTTGAAAAATACTTAATGCGCTGTAAAAATATACTACACATTTTAAAATAAAAAAACTGTCACCATTAAAAAAAATGCCTGCAACATTTAAGTGTAGAATATTGCACTATTTAAATATTACAAGAATCATAAAATTATACAGATCCACAGTCCCACGCCTTAAACATACTGCAGTTCCACGAATGTTACTGAAAACCCTTTTTCCCTACATAATAGGCCAAATTTATCAGGTTATTGCAGAATAAATGAATGTCTAGGGAAAGAGTATTAGAACAGAGATAGTGAAAGTCATTGATTTTAAACGCTTCCAGTGAGTTAGTAGGGAGAGTAATAGAAGGAAATTGATTTCAATATCAGGTAATGAGAAAGACAAAAGAACAACCGTGAGGATCAGTGTGTGAACTGGGATAGAAAGGCACACTTCATTGACTAGGAAAACTGAGTGATGAAGTCAAGCTTGTACAAAAGCTGAGGAAGCTGCTTTCAAAATGTCTAACATGTAGGTTCAACATAATAATAATCCTTGCATTTGATGTGGCGCCTTTTTACGTCATTGAGACGTCTCAAAGTGCCTCACAAAATAGATTGTAAAGTGGA